AAGAGAAGAGATTAATGGATCAATCTAAGAGGCCCACTGTCTGACTAATAGTAATTTCAGAGGAGACATGAAAAAGATATCAAAGAAATAATTTAAGAAAATTTCCCATAACTGAAATAAATGATTTTCTAGTCTGAACGGGCCCATCTAGTGCCCAGCATAACCAAAGGAAACAAATAAACAATAAGCAAATATTGACAACCCATCACAAAGCACATCCTTGTAAAACTTGTTTTTGATGTTTCCCAAGTTTTACTAGAATATGTTTTTTGGAGGATAGGCTTCTCTTAAGAAAGAGATAAACCTGGAAAAGGTAAGAAAAGAGATTTAGAAAATAGAAGATCCAACATAGAAGGCTGATGTAAGAAAGTCCCAGGTCTACAGAGAAACCATTCAGTTTGGGACAAAAACATGGAGAGTTTAAGTGAAATGTCAGAGAAAAATCACAGATTGATACCGTGACTGGACAAGATTGAGCATTTAGAAAGTTAAAAAAAATACAGTTATTAACTCCAAAAAATTAACAATTGCATATGAAGAAGAAAATGTAATTATAGTATTCTACTTGGCTCTGCAATAGACTCATCTAAGGACAGTTTGCTTAGTTATACTTATGTAAACTTTTGACTATTAATTTAACAAAGAATGTGATAGTGAGAGAATAGGAAAAAAGATTTACTAGGTAATGTCTAAAATTGACAAATCAAGAAGTTTTTGTGAATGCATATTATTTAAAAGTATGAAGGGAACTATCAGAAGAAACATCTAAAAAAGTAAGAAAAAGGTTGTTTAAGGGAAGTTGGTTCAAGGATGGAGAGACAGAGTAGAGACCTGGTTTTTTTTATTAAAGCTTTTGTCCTATTTGATTTAAAAAAATGCACATTAATTATTGATATCATAATGAACCTAAATGGGAAATAGCAGAGACCTAAAATATTGGTCAGCCAAATTATGCTGCTTTGCAGAAGGAGCATGACTGATCTGTTCAATTTCCAACTGCATGTTCTACTGTAGCTTAAAGACACAACATCATTTAAATTCAAGGCCCTGTGAGGTTGGAAATGTATAATTAATTTTGGACTATTTATCTTTTAGAATATTAAAGAAAACATCACTATTGTTAATAGAATCTTCTGAGAGGGTTGTTATAAAGATAAAGTGAGTTACTGTATGTAAAGTGCTTAGAAAACTGCCTTGCATGCATGAAGTAATAATAAACAATTGTTATCAATATCAATAAATTTTTAAATTTCAAACGTCAAAATGGAGTTTTTGTTGGATTTTATGCTGAAGCTGTACAATTAAGAATGTAAGGAGACAGAAGAGTCAATGTTGTCACCAGTTAATAGTTGAGATTCCAAAACATGAGGTAAAACATGGTTTTGAGATTGCCATTTCTGTTCACATGGGCAAACATACTAATTTGTCGAGGATTTTTTTTTTTTGTAAGAGAGCTTATATCTTGTTTTCTTCTAGACAGAATTATAACCAAACTTTACTTGGAGGTAGTATTGAAGGGTAGAAAGCTCTAATATCCCTGTTTGAAATTACTCTGGAAT